CTGCTGACATTGAGCTGCCATCCCAACCTGGACTATGCTCCAGTCCTTCTTTCATATAAGAAAACAATAACTTGAACTCGTTACTCTGCTCTTATTTGGGGCTTTGTTACACGTAGCCTAACTTAAGCCTGATTTCCATGGACCTATGGCCTCCAGACTTGTTACCTTACTTGAAGTCCTGATCTACATGAGGGTTCCTGGCTGAAGGTGGCAGGGAGGAGGAACTGAGTTGTTCCAACTTGGTCTCCCATTGCTGCCCCCCACAAAGGCCCTACAGGTACCTCTCAAGAACTTCAGGGCTAGTTGAAACCCACAGATCTTGTTACTCCCTTTATTTTATAGGAGTACTGGGGGCCAGAGAAGGGGAGCAGCTGCCCAGTTGCAGCAGGCCCACTGTCCTATACCCCTACCTTCTACTCCCAGGGATAATTTCCTAGAGGCAGCAAGCATCCACTCTGTTAGAAAAGGTCTGAAATGCCTACTCTCGACCACACCCTGCCAGTTCACAGGCTTCTTATCAGATTGCCCCACCAAGGCCGACAAAGCCCTGCATGGTCTGGCCCTGCCCACTTCTCTGATCTCTGTGTGCTGCTGTGTAGCAGATTGAAGAAGGTGATTAAGGCAATGGACTCCTACATGGCTGACCGTGGTTTGAGTCCCAAACCCAAGGGCTTGCTTTCTCACTTTCCCTCTCTCTCTTTGGTGAGTGTGCATGCCCTATAGCAAATTAAATAATAATTACAACAAAATAAATAATGCTTTAAAAAAAAAAAGATGGCGGCCAACTCTTTGAACGTCTTCCCTTAGGGGAGCTCTGTGTCCCCTCTCAAGTGCATCTGACAGAAGTGACAACTGTGCTAGTTCCCAGGCTCAGGTGTTAGTGGGCCAGGAGGAGCTACCTCCTGTCTCTTAGGATACCTGCTATCTGGACAGTCTCGGAATCCAGCTGCCAAGCTGCAAGGAACCCAGGCCACATGGAGAAGTCACATGTATGTACACCTATTGATGGCCCTAGCTGAACTCCAGATGACAGGCAGCATCACCTGCCTGGCATACGTGAGCCTTCTTGGACACATAACCCAGTCAAACCAACAGGTTTTTTTTGTTTGTTTGTTTGTTTGTTTGTTTGTTTTTGAGAGGTTTTTGCTATACGGCGCATACACTGGCCAGAAAGACAGAGACAGAGAGACAGTAAGCGAGATTTACACAGAGATTCCAGTTGCCCACTTGACAGCTCTGTGACCATGGTCAAGATATTTACACTGAGCTTGGTTTCTTCACCTGTAAAATGGAAATTGAGACTACCACTGCTTCATGAAATTACTTGAATTCGCAGATAAAAATAAACCATGCAAGTAACAATAGCAACAGGACCAGCCAATGGCATAATGGTTACGTCACTGGACTCCTACATAGTCGACTGCAGTTCATGGCCCAGATCTAGCAGCTTAAAACTCACACCGGGTGTGTGTGGGTGTGTGCCCAAAATCCCGGGAAAAGAATGTAAGAGAAGGGACTGCCAGTGTGGCCATCCCCCCTGGAGGGGTGATTTCTCACTTTCTATTTCTGTTTCTCTGGCGAGCGTATGCACCCTCTAGCAAAAAATCTCTCTCTCTCTCTCTCAAAAAAAAATTATAATAATAACAGTGACAGCTACTGTTAGTTGAGCAGTTACTATGTGCCATGCACTTTGATACGCTGGGGGGTAAGCACCATTAGTGTGCTTTCCTTTGAATCAAGGAGGAAATGGGGTGAAAGCTAGAGAGGCTTTTTTCAGAGTCCCCTGGGAGAGAGGCAGAGCTAGGTCAGCATTCCTGACCTGACTCCTGAGCCCATGCTCATTTCCCTACTTTGGTCTGCCCTCGTCCTACCAAATACCACATGCTGTGACCAGGCGTCAGTTCAGGTGCTCCCGTACTCCGGACCCAGGTCTGACTTCTACGCCTGTGACCCTTCTGGCCCTGCTAGAGCATCAAGGACAAGTGCGCTGGGTTAGCTTCCATCATCGTAACTGGACTACGGCTCCGTGAAGACGGGCACCGGTCTGTCTCATTTCATGGATCACCTCTGACCTCTGAGTACTATCTCACCCATCACAGACGCTCTATAAATATTTCAGAGCCTGTGCCTGTGCCCTGCTAACCTATTTTTTTTTTTTAAATAGGACCTACTGGAGCACAATTAATAAAGCACATGCAGTAATTATCAGGATGACATCATTTCTCAGTCTACGCCCGGAGTTGTTCTCCAGAAGCTGCTTCCAATTTTCACTTAGTGAGGAAGAAGCGAACAGGGGAGTGATTCTCACGCCTAGAGGAGGAAATCGAGACTCATGTGACTGCACAATGTTCTTTTTATGACATCCCTTATCGGCCGATAAACTCTTGCTCAATTTCACGGCAGGTCAACGTCCCACTGTGTCAGGCGCTGAATGGGAACACATCTCCTGGATTCCAAGTTCAGCAGACACAGTGCCCACACCTTTGCTCCCAGACATCAGGGGAGTGGAGGAGAGGGCCAGGAAGGTACTGAATACCCAGGAGCCCCAGGCCCCTCCCTGAACCCAGTGCCGGCCCCTCCAAGTACCTCTGGATCCACTGTTCTTTGTAGGAGGCGCTGAAGGAAATGCCTGAAAAAAGCTCTGACTTATTGAAACTCACATGAAACTGATCCCAGAATGGGCCAAAGGGGTTTCCTTCCTGTAGAAAGAGAGCGAAGGAAGGTTTACTGGGGGTGGGATGGGGTGGGAGGGGGCACAGAACCGTAGGTGGGAGAACCCTGGGTGGTCTGGCTCAGGCAGAACTACCCTTGCAGGATGGCCAACAAAAATACCACCTTGGCAT